CTCTCTCTCCTTTGTCACATATCTCATTTTTTGTCTTGTGAATATTACTCTACTTGTTTTCCGAAAGTTGACTTTCCAAATTAGGCAACAATGCCAGACCGCATTGGTCATGCCTACAGTCTCGTACGAGTGTCTCATTTTTTTTAACTTTTTCTTTTCCCTTCTTCAGGTCTGCAGTCTTGAAACACCTTTTTGTTTCTTGTCCTGACTCCTTACAGGAGCCCTTAGTATAAATTGCTGTTTCTTTTTTTGTTTGAGGCTTTGAGCATTTTTTTAATTTTTTTATTTTTTTTTTGGGGGGGGGTGCGTCTTAAACCACCTCCAGTTCCTCTGCCAGTGTTGGGAAATTATGGCAAAAGACTCAAAACGGCAGTTCCCGAAGAACTCAGGGGTGGGGACCAGGGTCGGCAAGTCCCAGAAATCTTAGTTTTATATTGCCCGTGGGTGAATGGAACAGAAAAAAAAAAAAAGAAAATGCTTGCTTGAAGAACTTGGGGGTGGGACCCAGGGTCGGCAAGTCCCATAAATCTTAGTTTTATAGTGCCCGCGAGTGAATGGAACAGAAAAAGAAAAAAAGAAAATGCTTTCTCTACTGCAATGATGTCGGGCAGGGTAGTCTAGGAGGTCATCCGTGCTCACAGGCTTCCTCGGCAGAATGAATCTTACAGCTAACACGGTCACATTCTGAACGTTTCTTGTTTTTTTTTTTTGGCGGTTTTATAGTCCCGACTCCCTAGTCTAATAGGCCGTGCTCTCAGGGTTTTTTTTTTTTTTTTTTCCCTTGTCGTTCTTATAGTCCCCAGTCTAATAGGCCGTGCTCACAGTCTTCCTCCACAGAATGAATCTTACAGCTCACACGGTCACAGTCTGATTTTATTTATTTATTTATTTATTTATTTATTTATTTTCTCTCTCGTCTTTCTTATAGTCCCCTGCCAACAAGGCGGGGCGGAATCCGGGATCTGCTCAAGCTGTGTTTCCTCAGAGGATTGTAACCCTGATCACACTGGCACTTAGAGGAATGTATCCAGCCATTTTCATGGCCGAATCCGTGTTTCCGTTTTTTTTTTTTTTTTTTTCCGTCTTTCTGGAATCTGACAGCCTGGCCACGGGGCTGAGATGCCCTCACTGAGGGCACACTCACACTACCCACTTCCAAAAATGTAGTCGTCTGCAATCACGGCCAAAGCTTTGTTTCCTTTTTTTTGTCCTCTTCTTTTGTGAGTTTCACGGCCGCAACTTTTCTTTTTCTTCTTCTTCTTCTTCTTTTTTTTTTTTTTTGCACGTTCTGTGAGAGTATCAGAAAGAAAATGGAGTGGGCCTGTGGGACCCAGGCTCGGCAAAATTTGGAGTGCAGTGGAGTTCAGGCTCCGCAAAAACAGGCTCAGAGGTACTACCTTCTTCCCCCGAATATAACGCACGGTCATTATAGCTGTGCATCTAGACTGAAAGATGCCTCAAATGCAGCTATAATGACCATACGTTGTGTTCGGGGGAAAGAAGGTAGTGGCAAATAACGTTATCCATTTTCGTGAATTTATGCCGTCTTTATATTTAGCATCATAACCCCACAAATAAAAATAGAGCAGCAATAGCTCCTCCACAAACGACTTAAGAAATCATAGCAAAAAAAAAAAAAAAAAAAGGGACCTAATTACACAAGTAAACCTGAAGTATTACAAAAAAGTAAAATACTAAAATCATAAAATGAGAAATAAAACGAAATGAACTGGGTTTCCAGCACGTATAACCATAACGCCAGAAACTCGAGTGACGTTTGAAAAAATAGAAAAAATAGAAAAAAAAAAAAAAAAAAAAAAAATAGA